GTTGACAATGGGAGAGGGACGCTCACTAATCGCGGTACAGGACATACTAGCCTGTTGTGTCTTAGGCCTCAATCTCGAGCCCCGCCAGCAGAAGCATAGCAACTAGTTTATGTGGGCAGAATAACTTTACCACCTGGGACAAAGGAGACTTAAACGGCGAGTTCAAGCTATTCTAATAGGTGAGCGCTGCAATACGCCGACGACACATTTGTAGTGGCTAAGAATGAACTGAAAGCGTTCCAAAACCTATCAACTTAACGACGCCAGGGATTAAATTATAAATCGAGAAAGTTGACAACAAATTTCCATTTCTAGATGCTGTCGTATTTTAAAAGATTGACAGAAAATTATGCATAAGTCATTCCACACTACGAGAACAACCGACAGTTCGACCGTCGATTTCGACGATGTCCACCGTGTGCCCCACAGACTGCATTGTGGGAGCAGGGACGGTGACTTACGCAGGGGTTTATAGTGCCAGTAGACTTGCGTAGCATCTACCTACACTCTCTCCTCCTCCCCCGCCTGGGCCCGGTGTCAAGACAGAGTCAAGAAGACCGGAGACGAGGGAGGCCGCAGGTGGATGGCTTGGACGGATCCTCGCCTTGGCGCTCCACTCCGCACCCCCTGGTCCACACACAAATGACCAGGATTTTGACCACAAAACAATGGGGTGGTGGCAGTGGTCCAGTTGTGCGACGAATGCCGACAACAGGGTCCGCTAGCGCACCCCGCAAATGTTGGAATTTGTTATTGCGCACAGATAACGCCTGCCAGAGTCCGATGTGGCCCCCGTGTTCGTCCAGCGCATCTAACACGTGGCCCGTTTGGAGGGCAAAACGAGAACAACCACCCTATCTCTCACAAACCGAGTGAGGTCAAGAGCCTGCTTAGAAGAGCGAAAACACATTGTTTCGACAAAGAAGGCTATCGAGTTGAACTATATTATTTGTGTGAATTACCTTCTCGGAATAAGTATCCCAAAGATTTTGTACGCCGATGCACAAGACATAAAGAGTCAGAAGAAGAAGAAGAGGAAGAAGAAGAAGAAGAAGAAGAAGAAGAAGAAGAAGAACCAGTTTGGGACAGAACTAGCACTGTGGGTGCCTGTTGTTTCAAGAAAGGCCGAGGAATACTCGAGGTTATATTTTCCGAGAGTCTTGCATCAACCAACATATCTAGTTGGATGTCGCGCACATAAGTCTCGAGGATAAATGAAATGGAGCTAATCAGAGCAGGATAGAAACCCCATGGCCGCGCACGGACGAGAACGAGAAGCAATTATCGAGATTAAGTAGCTAAGGTGTTAAGGGTTTAGACACACTGAATCGCGAATGCATCACAACGAAAACAGGGAAACGGCGTAAAATATTCAAGAAAGAAAATTTGACTTCACAAAAAAGGTGACAGTCACCCAAAACACAAAAAGTGTATGCCTAAGCGAAAAAACCACCAAAGGAAGCAAAAGAGAATGGAAGGCCGAGAGGGAAAAAGAACGTTTGATAGAATGAAGAGATATGAAAAGTAAGATAGAAAGAAGTGGTAGGTCGGAGGTTGAAATAATACCTAACAAGTCACGAGTTTCAACCTCCGGGGTAGCATAGCAGGGAAAGGATGGGGCTGGCTGATAACGGCTAACAAGGCAGAGATGCCAGTCTCAGGCTCCCTCGTCAGTGTCGGAAATGTTATTCTGCCTTCATAGTGCGCCGTTGTGAGGTTGCTGGCGGGGATCGAGAGAGACAAACACAGAGGGAGAGGGAGCCCCAAGGTAGGACTGGACAAATGACTTTCGTAAGCGATGAGTGCAGGCGATTTACCATTGTCAAAATGGCCGATCCAAACCGACAAGACCGGAAGCCCGTGGTTCATTGGTTAGGGGGTTGAAATAATAACCAACAGGCGGCGAGGTCGATCCCTGGGGGCTATATAGCATGGCGCTAGCCAGGGCTGATTGATGACGGCTGACAAGGCAGAAATGGAAAATCCAGGTTCCACTGTTATTCTGTCTACATTCCGCGCTGCCATGCGGTTACTGGCGGACCTCAAGAGAGAGAGAGAAAGCCCCAGCGCACAACGGGAGGAACCAGGTCCGTAAGGAGATGGGTGCGTGCCAGACAATTGTTGTTAATATAGCCGATCGCAACCGAGAGGAAAAGACCCCCCTGACTCAGTGGCTAGACATTTGGATTTATTGCAAATAGATCTCGAGACCTGGTCTGGGGGTCGCATAGAACGCTATTGGATAGAGCTGGCTGATGACGGCTAATAAGCCAGAAATTGTCATTCCAGTCCCCCTTTGTCTTTGTCGGTAATATCATCCTACCTATATTTTGCGACGATATGCTGCTGACGACGGGGATCGTGTGAAAGAGCGAGAGAACCCCAGTGCACAACGGGCGGAGTCAGGTCCGCAAGGAGATGAGCCAGCGCAAGCACATAGTTTTTACTATAACCAAGCTCAAACGAGAGAACAAGGAGCTCGTGCCTCGGCAGATAGAGCGCTGAATATAAAACGAAAAGGTCGCGAGTTCTAGTTTCGTATGTTGCGTAGAAGACGGCAGGATAGTGCTGGCTGACGACCGATAATAAGCCAGAAATGGCCATTTCAGACTCCATGTCGTTGCAGGTAATGTCATTCTGCCTATATTACGCGCCGCCATGCGGCTGCTGACGGGGCTCTAGACAGAGAGAGAGAGAGATTCCCAAGGCACAACGACAGGCGTGAGCTGGGAATGCGATGGGTGAGGGCTCCTCCCCCAGTGTATCTACCCCATCAAAACCAACAGGACAAAGAGCCCGGAGCTCAGTGGTCAGGGCTGTGGACTACTAGCCAACAGGTCCCGGAGCTCTAGACCGTGACCAAGGCAGGATGGGACATGCGACTTCCACATCGACATCTGTGCTCCCCCACATCAGCCTCATATTGCATAATATTATATGCAGAATGGCATTACTAGCAAAGGCTTGTATACTGAAACATCCTCTACTTTTTGCCCTCTCGTTTCAAATGCAAACAAGCTTCCATCGTCCGCGCTGTGTGCGCTACAATGTCACGCAGTTTTTGTAAGCATAGACGGCCGTGTTCGATCAGGTTTAGTTTTAATGTTGTATATTTGCAGTTTACATTGAATAATAGACGAAATGCGGAGTCTTTATTTTTTCACGCCCCTCGGTGGGGGGTGTTTGGACAGGGCGGCGTTTTGGCTTTGGTACTTATCGCCCGCATATGCCCAGGGGTCACCTCTGCTAGTATCCGGATAGAAGGGGAAGGAGGATGAGCGTTGCCAGTCTTGGGCGGTGTCTGGGCGCTGGTTGCCATCACCGGCATCCTCGTCGACTTTGTCTGCTGCCCTGGGCTGCTTGTCTTGACAGCATTTCTCCCTCGTCTGTCGGGCTATCGGTTGATTCATCCGTGTTACTGATCACGCCTTCGGCGGGCACGGATTGTGATGTGGCTATCTGCTTGTTTGTAGTAGGTTCTTCTGTTTGGATTCACGTTTGACCTACCTTCGCACCTTGTCTTTCGTTCATTACGTTGCGTCCAGAGGACATGGCTGTCTACCGGAAGGGCGACGCGACGGTCGACGAAACTTGTCTCCGTGTGCCAGGCCACAATTTTGTCGCTGGCTACGCGGTCATTTCCTCAACACAAGATTTCGGCGTTCTGGAAGATGGATGTATACCCAGAGTCTTCACAATGTTCTACCGACAGTTCAACCGTCGATTTCGATGATGTCCACCGTGTGCCCCACAGACTGCAATGTGGGAGCAGGGACGGTGACTTACGCAGGGGTTTATAGTGCCAGTAGACTTGCGCCGCATCTATCTACACTCTCTCCTCCTCCCCCGCCTGGACCCGGTGTCAAGACAGAGTCAAGAGGACCGGAGGCGGGGGAGGCCGCAGGTGGATGGCTCGGACGGATCCTCACCTTGGCGTCCCACCACACCTCCTGGTCCACACAACAATAACCAGGATTTCAACCAGCACAACAGAGATTTGGAGGCTGGCACGGCCGAAGCCGCACCTGGGCGTGCCGCCAACGCCTGGCTCGGATCCCACATTGTGGTGGGAATGCCATAAAGGCCACATTAAAAAAGAGCCATTGCAGCCTGACTCTCAGACTGCCTCCCGTTAAGGAGGAGGTCCAAGGTACCCCGTCAGTTGGCAACCTTCCAAGCCACGGCTTTTAGCGCACCGTGATAGCTTCAAGCGCGTCAGATTGATTATAGTGAGGAGAAAGTGCGCTGAGTCGTCGACCTCACTCTCCCTTCTCATTCCCACACCCCAGCCGCTGTCCGAGCCGGCCAGCAGACTGGAGTGGGGAATGGGCGCGTTGGCTGACATGGTCGACTGACCATGCCTGCGCGCGCCACAGCACGACCTGGCCCCCCATACACACACAAACACCAGGATTTCACACAACGGGGGTTGAACGGCGTGTCTCCCACTTGTGTGAGAGGGCCGTGGAAGGTGTTGCTTCAGCCCATCCCCAGCCCACCAGTCCGCCACTACACACAACACACACACACAACGTGACGAACTGCATTAACCGAGAACGGGCGTCAATCAGCAACCTTCCTATCCACGACACTTGACGTGTCGGGATAGCCTCGGACTCAAGTCACCCGTGCAGCCGAGGCCGCATGGGGACCGAGTCGGGATGCACACTTCCCACTTGCGTGGAAGGTGGTAGTTGGTGCATGCGGTGGGTGAGTGTTGATGTGTGTTGTTGATGGTGGAGGAGGGCAGGGTGTGTGTGAATGTGTGGTGTAACCGGCGGTTGTCTACCGCAGGTCGTCGTGAATGCGCATGTGGCCGAATAGGCCTGTAGTGACATCTAAGTCTGTCTTGTTTTAATCAGTTACAATACGCTTTGAGACAACTTTAAATAAGAACAAAGTCGTCAGCAGGTAAAAGTGCACGTGCGTGTCCTTTGTCTTATTCAAAGTTGTATCAAAGCGTACTGTAACTTATTTAAACAAGACAGAATTAAATGCCACTACAGGCCCATACGATGCCTGAAGGTGCGAAGGCAGTGTGGGCAGTGGAGACGAGCTTGGTGGGTGTTGGCTGGTGCTCCAGGCACTGGTTCTCCGGTCTCTGTGCGATGGATTCGCAAGTGACCGACCAGGCCGATGCGAGAGGTGAATGTGCGTGCACAGTGTGGGCAGGGGAAGTCGGCGGCGTCAGTGTCAGCTACAGAGGAGGCGTTGGTGGTGGTGCAGACGGATGGTGCGAGGGTGGTGCTGGGCATGACGGGCGTGGTTGTTGTATCGGAATTGTGGTCCATTCCGCTCTCGTGGATGCGCATGTGGCCGAATAGACCCATGCGATGCGTGAAGGTGCGAGGGCAGTGTGGGCAGTGGAGGCGAGTGCGGTGGGTGTAGGTTGGTGCTCCAGGCACTGGTTCGCCGGTCTCTGTGCGATGGATTCGCAAGTGACCGACCAGGCCGATGCGTGAAGTGAAGGTGCGATCGCAGTGAGGGCAGATGTAGACCTGGCCCTCATGTCTGATGATGGAGGTTGCAGGGGTTGTGCCGGTTGTTGTGTCAGGTTCGGCTGTGGTGAAATCGTGGGCGACAGACGCCGTAGCGGCCGTCGTTGTGGCAGTGAAGGAGGAAGAGGAGGAGGAAGGGGAGGAGTGAGGGGTGGTAAGGTCGATGGCGTCGATGTCGGCTGGGGAGTGGTTAGGGGGTGCAAAAGGTGGTGCATTGGGAGTGGGGCTCGGCGGGGTGGGTGTGTCAAGGCTGCGGTAAATTCCGCTCTCGTGGATGCGCATGTGGCCGAATAGACCCATGCGATGCCTGAAGGTGCGAGGGCAGTGTGGGCAGTGGAGGCGAGTGCGGTGGGTGTAGGTTGGTGCTCCAGGCACTGGTTCGCCAGTCTCTGTGCGATGGATTCGCAAGTGACCGACCAGGCCGATGCGAGAGGTGAAGGTGCGGTCGCAGTGAGGGCAGGTGTAGTCCTGATCCTCATCACTGGAATCGGGAGAGGTGGGGGTGGTGGCGGTTGTTGTGTCGGGGTTGGTGATGTGTGAGACGGCAGCCTGAAAGGCCGCCGCTGGGACAGTGGATGAGAAGGAGGAGGATGGAAGTGGTGGTGGAGTGTCAGAGTTAGTTGGCGGAAGAGAGGACGAGGAAGAGGCGGGCGGGGGGACGATGGCTGGAGCAGTTCGAGAGGTGCAGTTGATCCGAAGATGTCCAACAAGTTCGATTCGTGCCCGGAATGTCCGTTGACATCGAGGACACGTAGGGAGCGGTTGTGCGGCGGCGTTGCGTACTGGGCGGAGTTGGGATTTGCGGGCTTCGCGTTTCACTTTGGCGGCGGCGATGCGGTTGGCTTCGTGGATGGCAGCGCCCGTCTTCACTGTTCTCCTCCATGTCGGACGATCGCGGGCGAGCTCTTCCCAGTTGGTCGGGTTGATTTGCAGGCGCTTCAGGGAGGACTTCAGGGTATCCTTGTAACGGCGAATTTGGCCTCCTTGACGACGAGAACCCGTCGCGACGTCTCCGTAGAAGAGTCGTTTGGGTAGTCGCTCGTCGTCCATGCGCACCAGATGGCCGCTCCAGCGAAGCAGCATTTGTCTCAACATGGAGTAGATTCTCAGGATTCCCGTCCGTTCCAGCACATCGGTGTCGGGTATGCGGTCCTGCCAGTTCAGCCTCAGGATGCGACGGAGACAACTGAGGTGGCAGTGATTCAATCGACGTGCCTGCCTCGTGTACACCGTCCAAGTCTCCGCTCCGTACAGTAACGTCGGCAGGATGACGGCCTTGTACATCTTCAGCTTTGTGCTCAGTTGGAGACCGTGGCGATTCCAAACTGTACTTTGGAGGCGTCCGAAGGCTTGACTGGCTTTCGAGATTCTGTTGGCGACTTCGTCATCGATCTTTGTGTTGCGAGATAGGGTGCTTCCCAGGTACGGGAAGTTCTCTACCACTTGCAGTTGGGTCCCATTCACGCTGATTTGCGGCGCGTTGGGGGCTGTGGCTGAGTTGGGCGGAGTTTGGTGCATCACCACCGTCTTCTGCGTGTTAATGATCAGACCGAAGTTCGCGCAGGCGGCGGGGAACAGGTCCATGCTCCGTTGCATCTCCTCTTCTGAGGTGGTGTCCAGGGCGCAGTCGTCGGCGAAGAGGAGTTCGTGAACGGTTGTTGTGGATACGCGTGATTGGAAGTGCATCCACCGTTGATTCAGCAGGTGACCGTCCGTCCTGTAGGCGATGCGAATCCCGGGACGTTCGTCGCGGTAGGCGTCCATCAGCATGGTAGAGAACATAAGACTGAAGAGGGTTGGTGCCAGCACGCATCCCTGTTTCACTCCGTTAGTCACTGCGAATGCCTCTGAGACAGCTCCGTTGTCCGTGACTCGTGCCATCATACCGTCGTGCAGCTGACGCACCATCTGAGTGAATCGCTCCGGACAGCCGAATTTCTGCATGATCTTCCACAGTCCTTCACGATTCACCGTGTCGAAGGCTTTCGTCAGGTCCACGAAGGTAGAGTACAGGTGGGTCCGCATCTCCTGGCACTTCCCCTGAAGTTGGCGGGCGGCGAAGATCATATCCGTTGTCCCACGATGGCGACGGAAGCCGCATTGCTTTCCGGCAGAATGCCCTGCTCCAGATGGTTGTTGAGGCGGTTGAGCAGGATGCGAGCGAAGATCTTCCCGGCGATGTTCAGTAGGGAGATGCCGCGGTGGTTGTCGCAGACTTGGCGATTCCCTTTTCACTTGTATAGGTGCACGATAGTTGCGTCCTTGAAATCTTGCGGGACTTCACCTTGACGTCACATCTCCTGGAAGAGCGCAGTCAGGTGATCCATCAGTAGGGGACTTCCGTGCTTGTAGACCTCAGCAGGGATTGCGTCCGATCCGGGTGCTTTCCCGCTGGAGAGTTGCTGCACGGCCCTGATGGTCTCATGGAGAGATGGCGGGAGGTCGAGGTCCGCGTTGGTCTCCACTTGCGGCAAGCGGGCGATGGCGGCGTCGGAGATGACGGAAGGCGGTTGAGGACGCCCCGGAAATGCTCGGCCCATCGCTGTAGGATTTGCGTCTTTTCAGTCAGGAGAGTGCTGCCGTCGGCGCTGAGGAGAGGAGCAGTGCCCTTCTTCGGCGGACCGTAGACAGCTTTGATCGCGTAGAAGAAGTTCTTTCATTCGTTGCGGTCCGCGTACCCTTGGATCTCCTCAGCTTTGCGAGCAGTCCAGGCGTCCTGCATCTCGCGCAGTCGTTGCTGAAGCTGTCGGCGACTGCGGTAGAAGGCAGCTTTGTTGTCCTCAGTGGGGTGATCTACGTAGGCTTTGTGTAGGCGGTTCTTCTCAGCAAGCAGATTTTTGATGGCGGCGTCGTTGTCGTCGAACCAGTCCTGGTGTTGGCGGGGAGCGCGACCGAGGACGGCGAGCGCCGTCGACTGGACCGTGTCTCGCAGTTGACACCAGCGGTTCTCCACGGAGGCGTTCTCGGCAGCGGCGGCGTCGGCAGCGATAATAAGGTTGTCTAGCCGTTGAGCTAGCTCATTGCTGAAATGGAGACGGTGAGCAGGCAAAGACAACAAAGCAACATTCAGCTTACCTGGGGGTCGCTTACCTTGTGGTCTCCTGCGAGGCTGTAGGCGAATACGCATCTTCGAGATGACGAGGCGATGGTCGGTCCACCCGTCAGCACCTGCGATCGCCTTCGTCACCAGCACGTCCCGCTATCTCGCCTCCGAACGAGGACGTAGTCCAGCAGGTGCCACTGACGCGACCGAGGATGCCTCCAGGTGGCCTTCTCTCGCTCCGGCAGACAGAAGAACGTGTTTGTCAGGATGAGGCGGTGTTCTGCGCAGGCGCGAAGCAGTAGCAGACCATTGTCGTTGGCGCCGCGGAGACCGTGGGGGCCCAGCACTCCTCTCCGGGCAGTATGGTCTGTGCCGACGCGGGCGTTGAAGTCGCCAAGGACAATCAACTTGTCCGCCTTCGACACAGTCGCCAAGAGGGCGTGCAGGTCCTCGTAGAATTTGTCTCTTGCGGCGGCGTCAGGGCTGCTCATCGGCGGAGCGTAGGCGCTGATGATGGTGGCGAATTTGCCTCCTCGCCGGAGAGGCAGGCGGAGGCTCATCAGGCGATCGTTGATTCCCTGCGGCAGACAGGGCAGTCGTCCCACGATGTCGGTCCGGATGGCGAAGGCGACGCCCGCGTCTCGTCGCTCTGCCTTGGGTCGACCACTCCAGAAGAAGGTGTAGCCGGCACCCACCTCCTCCAGTTGGCCTTGTTCGGAGAATCGGGTCTCGCTGAGTGCGGCGATGTCCACCTTGTAGCGCGCCAGTTCTCGTGCCACTAGCGCCGTCCTCCGTTCCGGTCGGTTGCTCCTCGGATTGTCTAAAAGGGAACGAACATTCCAGGCTGCCAGAGTGAGCGGGCTCACCCTGCCAGTCTGGCGACTGCGGCGGCGAAAAGTAGGAGTAGGAGAAGAAGAAGAATAGGCTGGAAGAGGAAGAGAG